GCAATCTACAAGCTTGTTCAAGTCCCACCAGGACAAGATACTTGGCCTTTCCAGTAGAAGTCAAGCTGACCAATAAGCAATACCAACTCCTTTGGCACTCTTGAAAATTCCATCAGTACATGCAGCAAAGCTAAATCACCCCAGAAGAACAAGCCAAAGATCATTCTTCTGACTTTCCTCCCCAAAAAGATGTTTGATCAATGTGCCTTGCTCAGAACACCCTAATACTGGTGATAAATGGATCCACATGACATCCCAGAAGATAATAGCTGTAAAGCACAATACTACACAAAGCACCTGTTTAGTATCATGCCAAGTCTGGTGCTCAGAAAAACAAATGGAAAAGACGATTTTACTTTTTAAAGTACTTTGGAAAGTGTGTGCTGTTATTTTTGTAAAAATGCTTCTTTGGTTCAGTACAATTCAGATTTTTCACTGGAAAATTTAGCAATTATTGTGCTGTTTGTCTTGAAAGGGAGAATTGTAAAGAACACACACACACACACACACACACACACATGAATAATAAACATACACACACACACATAGAGAGAGAGAGAGCAAGGTAATTCTTAACAATATGCATATGTTTCTAACATTGATAATCTATTGCAGGGGTGTTAAACTCAAGGTCCACAAGCCAGATCCAGCCCATGAGATGCTTAGGTCTGGCCCACAAGGCCAGCCTGGAAATAGCAAAGGATTGGTCTGTGGTATCTTTGCTAGGGGAGCGGGGATCACCCACAGCCCATTTTGGCTAGCAGGATGCTACAGAAGGTCACCCTGGCCAAAAATGGACTGTGGGAGGACCACTTGCGCCCCCTCCCAGCAGCCCATTTTTCCAGCAGAGTGCTGCAGGAGGCCTCTGTCCCATCTCCTCCCCCCACCAGCGGAGGAGGACTACAATGCTGATCTGGCCTTCCAAGAAATTCAGTTTGACACTTCCAGTTTATTGCCTCTTCTTTTTACCTATCACTCCACCAAAAAAAAGTTAAGCAGCTAAAAAAAAGAAAAGAAAAGCTCAGTGCTTCTCCATTAAGACCTATAGTATTTTTTTCATATTCAAAGAGACTCCAATATTTTGAATCTCAAATGCAGGCTCAAAGATAATCCAAAACCATCATTTTAAGAAGGATCACATCTGATTCATATATACTAGGAGATGCCCTGGACTGACAGTTATTATCTTTAAGAAATTCAGGAAAAACGAAAGAGTGCTACTTGATGAGAGAGGAAATTTTGTCCCGTCTTTCAAAAAGGAGGACATTCAAGGAATGATAGACTAGTTAAGTAACACTTGAATTCGCTGAAAGTTTCTAATTGGAATCCATTTGTGTTGCAATATCATGACACATCAGTAGGAAGTCACGTACACAGAAAACCCAATACACATACAATACACATATAGGGCGACACTATTGGAACAGCAACGTGTAAAACGTGAGTTGGCTATAGCATAAGGTATAGCCATATATGGCAATATTCCCTATTCCTGTCTAACTTCCTCGTGTGTAACATAACCCCCCCCCCCCCCTGCTGGCACAAAAAAGAGAGGTAGTGGGACCCGCAACGCATCACATTTGTAAGAATCTGCAAATGCTGAAGAATAACATGTACGTAGTCAAATATTATCAAACTAATTTGATTTTGCTTCCCAAGAAAGTAAGTTCCTTAATAGATTGGGGAAATACTGTAAATATCCAGACAACAGGACATAGAATACAAGTATTTCAGCTTTAACCACAACACAAGAGCACACAACAGACATAAACTTAATGTAAACCACTCCAAACTTGATTGTAGGAAGTACGATTTCAGCAACAGAGTGGTCAATGTCTGGAACTCACTACCTGATTCTGTTGTCACCTGCTCAAACCCCCACTCCTTTACCCTCAAACTAACCTCTATTGACTTAACCCCATTCCTAACAGGTCTGTAAGGGGCATGCAAAAGTGCACAATTGTGCCTACCATCCCTGTCCTATTGTCCCCAATTATTAGTTCCTGTTTCTTACACAGGTGAAACTCAAAAAATTAGAATATCATGAAAACCCCAAATCCACAATCTCAGAAAATTAGAATATTGTGAAAAGGTTCAATATTCTAGCAGCAAGTGTCCCACTCTAATCAGCTAATTAAGCCGTAACACCTGCAAAGGGTTCCTGAGCCTTAATGGTCTCTCAGTCTGGTTCAGTAGAAAGCACAATCATGGGAAAGACTGCTGACCTGACAGTTGTGCAAAAAACCATAATTGATAGCTTCCATAAGGAGGGAAAGCCTCAAAAGGTAATTGCAAACGAAGTTGGATGTTCCCAAAGTGCTGTATCAAAGCACATTAATAGAAAGTTATGTGGAAGGGAAAAGTGTGGAAGAAAAAGGTGCACAAGCAGCAGTGATGACTGCAGCCTGGAGAGGATTGTCAGGAAAAGGCCATTCAAAAGTGTTGGGGCATGAATGAATAAAAGTATAGTCAAATGATTTTTTTTTTAATAATGATATGAGGATATATAAGTTTCGATTGATAATAAGAGTTATTATGTAATGTAATTGTAATTGTGACTACGAAATGAATGCACAAAACTGATGAACCAACCGATACACTGTTTGTATATAAGTATGGAAGAGAGCTGATGCTTTTATGTTTTGTTTTGTTTGTTTGTTAAAAAAACCAATAAAATTGTTTTCAAAAAAAATAAAAGTGTTGGGGCCTTTCACAAGGAGTGGACTGAGGCTGGAGTCCATGCATCAAGAGCCACCACACACAAGACGGATCCTGAACATGGGCTTCAAATGTTGTATTCCTCTTGTCAAGCTGCTCCTGAACAACAAACCATGTCAGAAGCATCTTACCTGGGCTAAAGAAAAACAGAACTGCTCTGTTGCTCAGTGGTCCAAAATCCTCTTTTCTGATGAGAGCAACTTTTGCATCTCATTTGGAAACCAAGGGCCCGGAGTCTGGAGGAAGAATGGAGAGGCACACACTGCAAGATGCTTGAAGTCCAGTGTGAAGTTTCCAGTCTGTGTTGATTTGGGAAGCCATGTCATCTGCCGGTGTTGGTCCACTGTGCTTCATTAAGTCCAGGGTCAACGTAGCCATCTACCAGGAGATTTTGGAGCACTTCATGCTTCCTTCCGCAGACAAGCTTTATGGGGAAGCTGACTTCATTTTCCAGCAGGATTTGGCACCTGCCTGCACTGCCAAAAGCACCAAAACCTGGTTAAATGACCATGGGATTACTGTGCTTGATTGGCCAGCAAACTCGCCTCACTTGAACCCCATAGAGAATCTATAGGGCATTGCCAAGAGAAAGATGAGAGACATGAGACCGAACAATGCAGAAGAGCTGAAGGCCGCTATTGAAGCATCCTGATCTTCCGTAACACCTCAGCAGTGCCACAGGCTGATAGCTTCCATGCCACACTGCATTGAGGCAGTAATTGCTGCAAAAGGGGCCCAAACCAAGTACTAAGTACATATGCATGCTTATACTTTTCAGATGTCCGATATTGTTCTATGTACAATCCTTGTTTTATTGATTGCATGTAATATTCTAATTTTCTAAGATTGTGGATTTGGGGTTTTCATGAGCTGTAAGCCAAAATCATTACAATTATGAGAAATCACGGCTTGAACTATCTTGCTTTGCATGTAATGAGTTTTTCTCATATATTAGGTTTACCTTTTAAGTTGCATTACTGAAATAAATGAATTTTTGCACGATATTCTGATTTTTCGAGTTTCACCTGTATTTAAACTTATGTTTATTCTTATTTCTATTGTACTGTAAGTTTTTAACAAAATAAATAAAATAAAAAATAAAATAAAATAAAATAAGTAGTCTAGACTTACAATCATTGGTTTAGTAACTGTTCAGAGTTACAATAGCATTGACTTAGAATCATTTTCCTCACACTACTGTAGCATCCCTGTGGTTATCAAAATTTGGATGCTTAGTAGTGGCTCATATTTATGACAGTTGCACTATCCTAGGATTGTGATCACTTTTTACAATCTTCTGACAAGCAAAATGAATACAGAAGCCAGATTCACTTTCTGTATTACTAACCTAACTGTAGCAATTCACTTAACTGTGGCAAGGTTATAACCAAGGTTATAACTGTTTTGCTTAGCAACATAAATTTTGGTCATAAGTTCAATTGTGGTCATCAGTTGAGGATTGCCTGTAGTGGATTTAATTTCAGGAAAGCAGCTTCTCTACCAATGTTAAACGAAAAACACTGGGCAGTTGGTCAGCTCCCCTGTAGAGAATGGATACTTAGGATTCCTGCTTGGCCTAAACCAGCATTTTTCAACTTTAGCAATGTGCGCACACTTCAACTCCCAAATTCCCCAGAGGTAAAAAAAAAAAACCAGTCCCTTGCAGCTGTAGGATTCTATGAACCTTAGCACACAGTACATTTGAAGGCCCTCAAGTAAGTTATCTCTCCTAGGTGCACTCACACCTCACGCTTTGAAGCTGGAATTCAAAACTACCTGCAGACCCCTCTCGTTTTATTCTGCTTGGCCCTCTGCCAGGCTCAGAAGCAGAAGTTAAGCTCCACAATCAGAATTCTACAAATGCTGAACAAGAATCAAGATTCCAGCGTCTGAACCGGTAAAATATTCTCCATTGGCAACGGAGAGAGGCCCTGCTGGCTCTAGCGCTGTTAAAGAAAACCAAAGTTAAAGGAAACCAAGTTAAAAATTTAACCGAACTTCAGGCAATAAAAGGCCATCTTCTAATTCGGACCTCTCGCGGACTCCCAAAGCCCCTTGTCAGGGGTCGCACCTCTGTATTTCGCCTCTTTCCTTAGCTTGGTCTTCCAAGTTCGCTCACCATTCCGCCCCCTTCCACCGCCTCCCCCCCGCAACTTGGAAGCGGCTGCATCAGAACTCCGGGATAAATGAGAGCGTGCGGACGAAGCTGCATCTACGCCCCGCCTACCTTCCCACGCTGCTGCCGGAGTCGAGGGAAACCGGATTCGATAGCTTTGGAGTAGCTGCGCTGGTGCTGGCGGATAACGAAGACCAGTCAGTTAGGCTTTCTTCCTATCCTGTTCCAGGTCAGTGAAAATCAACCCATTCGCTCGCCAACTCCTTTATTTTTGTCTTGATACAGGGGCGGTGGGAGAGCGGTGTGGCCATTTGCCTTTCCAGCCAAGGGGTTTTATCTCCCTTCTTCGCCCCCCCCCCATGTTTTTCAACCCCATCATAAGTAGAATAAAGTCCGCCTTGTGCTACCTGGATAGTAGCACAGTAGTAGTTGTTTTTCTCTCAGCTGGGGTTTACCCATCACCATATGTGGCTTAGCGTACCGTTTAAACCCCAATGTTGAGAATCCTACACCCGGAGCTATTCAACAACCCATAGTTTAGAGCGCGACGGGGAAGCCTTTCAGAATAAAACGCTATCCGTCCAGGGATTTTTGCGGGTTTAAATTAGCAGAATCCCGAACATAGATCTACAAAGTTCATTTAGTTGCTGGGATGGGACTAAGTAATGAGTTATATAATATCTGTTCTTCATACCCATCTCCCAAGAGTAGGATACATGGTAGCCAGAAACTATGGGTATTGTAGTCTGGGATTTTTGGAAGACATAGAGTAGGGTTGCATTCATGACTTTCACAGAAGAAAGCAGGTATTGTACATTAAGTTTGTGCTCTCAGAGAAAAGGTTAGGTAGTAAAAGTGCTGGAGAATTATGTTAATAAGGCACATGATTGTGAAGTGAAGACCTTATCTGGGAACAGATATGAAGAAAGAAAAGGTGGAATAATCGTACAACTCCTTTTCATTGCTAATGTTGAGAATCTCCTGTCTCCAAGCATCTCCAGTTTTAATGCACCACACTTCAACAGTATCCAAACCCTCTATATTTTTAAACTGGGTAAAAAAAAAAAAAGATGTGACCTTGAAAATATACCCTTGAAGATGATGGTGGCTGCAGGTGCCAAGGGAACAGCTGGAACTGTAGAGCTCTGAAAATACAGTGGCTACTTGGTAGGTTGTCAAATCTTACAGATGCTTGAAATAGATCATTGAATTGTATAATTTATAAAAGACTGCTTAAAAAGAGCAAGGTTGGTTTATAAAGTGCCTAGATTTGGCTTTTGAAAATACCTTGAATGCTCTTGGCAAAAAATATATTTTGGACCTTCTGTAGGTGGATCTATATATGGAAGTTGCTACATTGGCCAATGCATTTAATTATTATTTGCTTATTGTAGCCATAACTATGTGATTTCTATTTTTCAGTTGCACTTACTTAAAAATAAGCTTTGTGGAAATTCACCAGGTCTAGATCTAAATGAGAAGATTTAGAAGAGTTAAAAAGGTTTATTGAGCCATAGTCAAATGATTTAAATTAGTGTATAGCACCTGGAAGCACCCAAATAGATTGGATTCTTCTGAGACTTATTGGCTCAAAATTTTAAGAACTCCCGAGAGGAAGCCTATCTTCAATCAAGATGTTTTTATTCCCAATTTATTCACAGAAAATAAAGTTGTAAAATTGAAAGGAAGATTTCCCTGCAGCTGGATTCACATCAGCTGCTGAACTCCCAGTTTTCATTCCCTTGTGTACTGAATAACATTTGATTGTACAATTTGTGCTTTCCAGTCTTAGACCAGAATTAGAGCTCCTTTAATCCATCACCTCTCTAGGTAATTACTTCTAATTTTGAACTGCTCTTCACATAGGAAGTGTTTTTTTTCTTAACATTTAGTCAGAGTCTACCTTCTTAAAACTTAAAACCCTTATTCTATATTCTACAACTAAATATTGATCATCTTCAGTGAGAGATCCTTTTAAATACAGGTATTCCTCAATTTATAACCACAGTTAAGCCCAAAATTTCTGTTGCTAAATAAGACAGTTAAGCGAATCACTGCAGTTAGTAAGAGGGTTGTTAAGTGGATCTGGCTTCCACATTGGCTTTGCTTGTCAGGTGGCTGTAAAAGGTGATCACATGACCCTGGGACACTGCAACTGTACATGCCAGTTGCCAAGCAATTAAATTTTGATCACATAACCACAAGAGATGCTGGAGCCTTTGTTGCTCTTTTGTTTCTCTGAATCCTCTTCAGTTTAATGTTCAGAATCAGCCAGGATACTTGGCGTAGGGTCTGATCCCACTGCAGAATGAAATGGAACTATGATTTGGAAGCTATACTTCACATGTCCTATTGCATTTGATTTTTTTTTGTAGCATTATCACCCAGCAGGGTCATTCTCACTTTGTAATCAATAATCCAAGATCTTTTACGAAAGTACTTGTCATCAAGCCAAGTATCCCCACCCTATATGCATTTGTTTTCTGTTTCCTAAGCAAAAGAGAAAAGTAAAAATTAACAATTTGTCCTCTATTAAATGTCATTCTGTTACTTTCAGCTTATTTTTCTTAACTTATGAAGACTGTTTTAAATGTTATTTCTGTCTACTGGCTATCCTATCTAAGATGGTATCATCTGAAAATTGGTAAGCATTCCTTCTTCCTCTTTCACCAGGCTATTAATAAAGTATTGAAGAACAAGATAAACATATAGTACCTGACCCAGTATTTTTCTATGATATTTGAGATAACTATACTTACGTGACATAGCATTTAATCATCACAACTAGCTTGCTAATCAGAATCTCACATTTTTTGTAATATATTTTGCTATAGTACATAGCACTCCCACTATCTGCTAAATAAACACTTAGATTAAAAATGGTTCTAATTTGAAAAGTCTGGTGCTTGAGAAATTCATGCTGGTATCTTGACTCTGGAGGTTTGAAACAATCTTTTTATGATATGCTTTTCAGGTCAATGATTAATGTCAGGTTCATTGGCTTACAAATTTCTGGATCCCCTTCCAGGTGTTCATTTGCTTGGATTTCTGAATAAAGGTGGATAGTTTTAATACTTCAAATATTCCAATTGTTTCTGCTTATTTTGAACCCTTTTATCTTGCTGTACTCAAATCAGAGTAATCATCCCATCAGGTTTTGCTTGTCACACAACATGTGCACATCATGCACATGAAATGTTGTCCTTTCTGGGCTGCATTCTAGTTTTTTATTTTTTCATTTTGCACACATGTGTATTGTTATATATAAATCCCATTATCTTCATTAGCTAATTTTCTGATTTTGTATTGAGTGAATTAATATATTCCATGAAGCTGCTCTCTTCCTCCTTTTTATAGCATGTAAGTCTACTGTGTATCTGAGAAGCAGTCAACCTCATATTAGCTGTCCATCAATCTCAATAATTAAGTTGATAGTCTCAGAATCCAAATATCTCCCATAAATATTGGCGTAAACAGTAATTAACTTCTTATATGCCTCTTTCCTTTCCTAGTCATGTTCCAAGACCATGTGAGCCCCTAGATTAGCATATGTCAGCGTTGGCAACTTTAAACTGCGTAGACTTCCAAACACTGTCCTAAATTTTGAACTTCTGCTCTGGACCTTTCAATTCCATATAAAGCTATTGTGGCTGGTTTTTTTCGGTATCATTTGATCCACATAGAATAGCAGGAAATGATAATTGGACTCCATTCTTATAGGACTTCAATATACTTTTGAAAACATTTTTTTCCTGTGCTCCGGGCAGAGAGCATACTTTGTAGCCCAGAACCCAATTATTCATGCTGGCATGCTTTTGTTTGCTGCTCATGCTAAGGTGGTACCAAGTATCAGGACACTCTGTCTTAAATGCAGTCACATCTCCACGCTCTAAGATCCCCTCATCTTGCTTCCTGTTCCCTTTTTTTACTTCCTTGGTAGCTCAAAGTTGGTATTCCTAATAAATCAACCATTACTGTGACACTATATCACTATCAAAGACATGCTTTATAATGCTGGCTTGAGATCACCATAAATCACTAGTGAGGAAATGGCTTTAGCTCTCAGGTTAGCCAAGCACAAACTTGACGTAGAGGGAAAATTCGTTAAGAACTTCCATAAATTATTCTGTTGAACTCTACTGCCAAGCTCCTATTTCCTCTTCCTGTTCAGTAGTTCTTGAGCAAATGTAAACATAATCAGGCATGATGCAGAGCATTTAACATGATGTACCTGTAACTAATAGTTTTGGCATGCTTTAATAACTAAATTTAAATTGAGTGAAGAAAGAAATCTTTGCCAAAATTACATTGGTTTTTCCAATGTAATTTTGGAAGAGTGGGAATCTTGCAAGCATCCAGATCAGTGGTGGTATTCTACTGGTTCGGCCCGGTTCTGCTGAGCCGGTAGTGGCGATGAACAGCAGAGACAGAAACGGTTCTCGCTGCTCTGCTGTTGGGCCCGCCCACCTGGGCTCCCATACTCCCTTTAGTCTCTGAATTTGAAGTGCAGCTGCTTTGAGCAGCACAGCAGCGTGCTGCACGGCAGGTGCTTAAGCGACCGGGAGAGTGCAGGCTTGCAAGAGGTGAATTAGTAGAAGACCTCTGCACCTATACAAATACCTCTGTACCTGTGCAAAGTGCACGTTTGGCACACGTGCACACACAAAGTGTGTGCACATGTGCAAAGTGTGCCCACCAAGCCACACCCACCAAACCGGTGGTAAAAGTATTTGAATCTCACCGCTGCTCCAGATGCTGCTGAACTGTAGTTTCCAGAATTTTTAAACAGTGTTCATACTAATTGGAACTACTGAGACTTGATATTTGGAAACATCTGGGTGATCATGTGTTCCCTAATCCTGTAGTGTGTAGCCTTTGCCAATCTTATATGTTGCAGAGATAAGTCAAGCCCTGAAGTCCTTGGAGGAAAATGGACAGATACTAAATAATTTATTTAGAGTGAAATGAATAAACAAATAATTCAGTAGGTACTTCTATGCTATCTCTGTGTTTATTGCAAGTCTGATCTTTTAAAAATAATTAAATAACTTTTAAAAATGTATTCAGTTGAGTATACAGTAGCCTTTAGAAATGTGGTCTGGAGGAATGATTGCTATAGATGCGAACAAGCTTTTAAGAGTGGTATGTGTGGTGAAATACGATTTTCTGGTGGCCTTTGGCTGCAAACAACAATGTTATGGTACGTTCCCCTGAAAGAAGAACACATAT